AATGTCAAGATTAACATGTGAAAAGGAAAGCAGCTGAGAAGATTTTTAGTAGTCCTAATGTCTGACATGGCATCTCCCATCTCTAAAATAAACACACACACTGTCTAAACCAGGCCATGCTTGAAAATGGAATCAGACTGGATTATAAATGAAACACATATTAAAAAATTTAATGTATCTGCTATGAAGAGTATCAAATCTCTTGAGTCTACTGTGGGCAAATATTTTCATCCCTTGGGGCTTAGTGTTCAAAACCTAAGTTCATATCTGGCATTTAAAGTTGAGTGGCCTCATTTGCACTGGCCTCTCCCACCGTGGTTTCTCTGTATCCCTGAGTTAGCATTCATATAAACTTGTAACAGTACAAAACAAGCACCCTACCCTTTCCTGAGGACACATTCGATTGGGGATGCCAAGAATGTAGCATCCCGTTAATCCATCCAACTGATATTCATGTGTAAAAAGAAGCCTAGCATTGTATAGATTTGAAAAGTGTATTTCAGAAAGTTATCAAATGTGGCTCCCTTATGCTTTTATATCCCAGCCAGCAAATTAAGAAACTGGATCTTTCCTCCATATTTTCTTTCCGACAGTGGACCTGAAGTGAGGGGAAAACATCATTCCTGGTTTTGAAAGAAGATACCCTATTCATTCATTCAGTGAAGGCACCATTAAATACCATGATGCACAAGCACCAGACCCTATGCAGGCAGCTCCAGGATGAACCACACACTTGAGACAAGCACCTTATTTATTTATTTGAAATATATCCTGCCTTCCCTTGTTTATTAAAGATCTCAAAGCAGCTTACATCATTCTCCTCCTACTACTCCTAATCTTATCCCCACAACAACCTTTTGCGGTAGGTTGGGCTGAGAACCTATGACTGGCCCAAAGTGGCCCAGTTGGCTCCACGACTAAGCAGGGACTAGAGCCCAGGTTGCTGAGTCCCATTCCTGCACTCTTAGCCACTGCAGCACACTGGCTCTCACACAGGACTGGCTCCCACACCTAATCATATGGAGGCCCAGTTCCCAGTAGAAGAGGTAGACTATTTTGTCACCGCCCCTGCTAAAATTATCAGTTAGGGCCAAGATGCCTGCTGGTGATGGCTGGCTGAGCTCTTGACTATTTGTGCATCACCATTTTTAATTGCTGGAAGAAGATGCATATTTCCTTGTTTGGAACGGCAAGCCTCAGGCACTCAGAATGCTATAATGAGTTACATTATGGCCTTCCTAATTTTCTGCAGTTTAGCTTTGAATGCCAACCCGAGAAGAATCTCACTTCCACCTGTTTTGGTTGGTTATCTCCCAGCTCTCCCTCCCTCCCACCCATGATCCATAAACCCATCCCTCCCAACTACTGTTGGTGACCACTGTTCCTGCTGCTCCCGCAGCAAGAGAAAAGTAGAAAGGACCGAGTTTCTACACTCATACATGCACACTGTTGCAAGGCATACACAGACCAGGAAATTCAGTTTTCCAAGAACTGCTGACATAAGTAGCCCTTAAGAAAATGATATTCTCCAGGCCTACTTGTGCATGGAGGGAAATTAGGCACTACAGAGAGAAAAAAGATCTGCTGACCTTCTTTCCTCCCTTTGGACTACTGCCACTACAACAGCCATTGCCAAAAAGTAAGAGGGGGGAGGGAAGGCAACATTTAGAGGAGTATTGGTGAGTAGTAAGAGAGGCTTATGGAGGCAAAACTAGGATTTTTTTTAAGTGTTCCTCTCGAACTCTTGGCTGGAAATGAACCAAAGAATCTATTTAAATTTCTAGAGACCAAAATGATTAGACTAATGGAGGAAAAGCCAATGTCTGGCATCAATTTTAATTTCACCAGCAAATAGGGGGATACTTCCAAAGCCATCTCAAGGAATACGTTCCAGAAGAAGTTCTGCCATGACCCACAAATAAAACAGATAATCACGTAATCTTCCTCACAATACTATAACTTGGGCTCATCCCATAAAACTGATTGGTGGGAAATGCAAGACAGAAAAACAGAAGTACTACTTTACAAAGCACATAGTTAAGCTATGGAATTAACTTCCACAAGATGTAGTGATAACCTCCAAGCTGACTGGCTTTAAAACAAATACAATAGGGATAAGGCAATCAATGGCTACCTGTCTTGATGCTTACATTCTACCTTCAGTATCAGAGCCAATGATCCTATGTACACCAGGAGATGGGAAACTTGGGCAGGAGGCTGCTATCATACTCGTGTCCTACTTGTGGATTTCCTATGGGCAGCTGGTCTCTAATGAAGACAGAAAATAGAAGATATTGGTAAAATCCATTTTTCACAGGGTTTTTTCCAGATAAAATGGAGAGGAGGAGAATTATGAAAACAGCTTTGGGATCCTTGCAAGAGAACAAAAGATGGATATAAATCTAATGTAATAATATTGCACTTTATTATCATTTAAGGCACAGCCCTATACATATTTAGGCAGAAAGAGGTTCTGCAATATCCAGCATTTCCTAGCCAGCCAGATGTATTTATTTACTTGATTTATATTCTGCTTTTTCTCTTACAAAGATTCAAAGTACCTTACATTAATCTCTTCCTCTCAATCTTATCCTCACAACAACAACCCTGTGAGGCAGGTTTGGGCTGATTGGCCCAAAGTCACCCAGTTGGCTCCATGGCTAAGCAGGGACTAGAACCCAGGTTGTCTGAGTCCTAGTCTCACTCTCTTAACCAATACACCACAATGACTTCTTTATTATTATTATTCCACTTATTCCACCCTGAGTGCCATTTTCTCAATAGAAAGTTGGTGTACAAATCAAGAGCCTAAATAAATTTCAGTGGTCCATTCTATCCATCTAACCACTCAACGTATTTGTAAGGACTCACAAGCATCAAATTACTAGGTGTAGGCTTAACATGGCAGATTAGTACGAGGTGCCATGTATCAGGTTTTGCTTTGCTTTGCTTTGTTTTTTGGCAAATGAAGAGTGCCTGGAGCAAATAACAAGGGCTTTTTCAGTGGGATGCCTACATTATAACCCATTAAATGTATATAAACTTGCATTTCAAGATACCTGAATGTTGCCAGCATAGTTAAACAAAGAAAATGGAAATTAAGAACACAAGAGGCAATGACAAATAGGCATATATAAAGTTAAGTCTATGTGGTATGGTAAACTCACTTAAAATGAATGCAGTACCTCAAATTGTTTTTTGTGCCACTTATTTGTATCTTGCACAAATTTCTAGATAAAGTTTTGCTTCCTAAATGTTTATGGGGTTCCACTCCACTGTGAATACCCTTGAAAAGAATGCAACTTATCAGGATCTTTCAACTTTTCAGAGATGGTTCATCTGCCCTTTCCAATCTTTCCTTAAACCAGTAGGCCAATTTGATGATTTGGACTAGATTTTGTTCTTTTCCACTTAGATTCCTCTTCCTGGCCAATTTTGGTATTTTGATGCCTGGGTCCTGGCCAGACAGATTACACTGAGGTTTATCATACCAAAATAATGTGCCTCTTCTAGTTGTGAAAGCTATAGAGTTGTGGCATACATTTTCATGTCAACTGCAGCTTGACTTACTTTCATGTGCAAAATTAATTGGAAATCTGGATTTAAAAATTAGTGAGAAAATAATTGTTTGGCTGACTTGAACAGGCAGGCTAATCTCCACTCTGGATCAGTTTATCGGTTCTGATTATGATTTTTTGCCATTTTACACTTAGCATTCAAAATATGAATTGCCAGCTACGGTTATATGGTAATGTATGCAATTAAAATATTACTTAGAATACAGTTTTGGTCTTGCTGCTTTTACAGCCACCTGTGTTATTGGAAACAGTGACTGAGGTCGAATGGCTACACTGGTGTACAATTGTGTTAAAAAATCCATTAAGCAAGAATAAATATGATATACAAGGTCTCAACCAAGAATGGAATAATGAACTGGGATACTCAATTTTGCCCAGTCAATGGGATGCTTCATTGTTATTTGATGTGTAAGGGTCATGGATCTTAAGCTATGCTTGCTTCAAGGATGCATGCTTCAAGGATGCTGGACACCACAAAGTCCAGATAAGGGCTTAATTAAATTGGCCAGTTATTGGAGGTGTAATGCTACTAATATTTCTCTTCTACATATGTTTTGGCAATGCCCGATGACAGCTTCCTTTTGGGAGAAAGTAATAATTTGGATAAATCTTGGGATGGAAAGTTCTTTAATATTTAAGGATACACATGTTCTTTTGAATTACCTACAAATTTCTTGGAATTTAGTGCAAGGTCATTGTAAATGGATTTTCCATGCCCTTTTGATACCTAAAAGATTAATATTACAACACTGGAAGGATAAATGGCCACCTGCAATAACACAATGGGTGAAGGATTTAATGAAACTGTTCAGTCTTTGAACAGTTGGCCTTTAGGTGTAATCTGAAAAGGATAACTAAATACATATTTGGGGTGCCTTTGTTGAGGTTTACGCATAATTATTTTTAATAGTAGTAGTATATTCTGTTATATATTAATACATAGGGATATATAACAAGTGTTATTACATTTTATGCAAAAATGCAATGTTTTATTTTTTCTTTCTCTTTAATGATCTGGTTTTGTTTTTCTATTTCACAATAAAAATAAATGAAAAAAGAAGTTGGAAACTGTTGAGATACATTGAACATGATTACAGGCATCAAAGTTGTAGGAGTAGACTTGATCTAAAAAGCCATTTAATCCCACCTCCTGCATATGGTCAGGAATGCTTCTTTTCAAACATCCTTAAATGATGTCCAAAGTAGGGGATTGGTATAGTTTTACACTCAATGGCTTCTTCAAAATCTTCCAGGCTGGAAGCCTTCTTCCCTTTATTCTCTGTTGCTTGGCCACAGAAACTGAATATATGTACAGGATGATCTGTCCTGTCCTGTCCTGTCCTGCTCTATAGAAGTTGCAACATGAGCCTCTATTTATATGTGTAAGTGAGGCAGAGCAAAAAGAGCCATTATCTTGAATACCTATTCCTCCAGCATGTGCATCAATCAGAGAAGCAGCTACGGCCATCCCCTTTGAAAGGCCCAGGTCTTTTGCAGCCTCTGCAGTTAGACCATTTCCAACTGGAGCTCCTGGAGCGAGAGCTTCATTTCCTGAGCAGACAGAATTACAACAAAAAACAAAAATCAAACACATACCAGCCTGTTGGGAGGAAAAAAAGCTATTTTTTCTGTGTATGAAAGCAGTCCTTTGCCTTCCCTCCCTGAATTGATACACTCTTAGTTTTATTTGCTCAACTAAGATAAAGCAGTATATGTTGTATAATGCTAATATAATAATTAAGCTGCTTATATCATTGGTGTAGTTGCATTTTTCTAAGATTCAGATAAACATGGATGCTATACTTCTATGGTTTTCAACAGAGACTACAATATGCTTTCAGTAGCGTTCAGTTCCACTGTGGAAAACAGTCACTTTTCCCCTCTGAAAAGTCAGTGTAATGTTTAGTGGCCTTTAAAGCTAATCTCATGTACACCCAAAAGTTTTCATATTGATCTCCTGTGGCCAAGATAAAAATGGAATGGGTTTCAATGGAATGGCACACAAGTAGTACTATGAAAACCCTAAAATCCTAACTGTGACTGAAGCAGAGTACTAGCTACAATGATATAATCACAATTTTCTTTTAAAAATTAACTAGCACAGCAAGGAGATCAAACCAGTCAGTCTTAGAGAAGATCGACCCTGACTGCTCTTTAGAAGGCCAGATACTGAAGATGAAACTCAAATACTCTGGACACCAAATGAGAAGGAAGAACTCACTGGAGAAGAGCTTAATGCTGAGAATGATTGAGGGCAAAAGAAGGGGACGGCAGAGGATGAGGTGGCCAGATGGAGTCACTGAAGCAGTTGGTGTGAGCTTAAGTGAACTCCAGGGGATGGTGGAGGACAGGAAGGCCTGGAGGAGTGTTGTCCACGGGGGTCGTGATGGGTCGGACGTGACTTCGCAACTAACAACAACAACAAGAGAAAAGCCCTCTGTATTGCCAGATAGTGGATTTTGGAACTGCATTTATAAAAGAAGAAAATCTATATCTTCCCTAATCTCAAACCTGGAGCTAGAGTACATGTTAGTAGGTATAGTGTGGTAGTTGGGGTGGACACCAGAATGTTTGAATTTTTACTTAAACGAAGATGCTGCATGGTAAGAAAGCTGAGCAAAGTGGGTATAACAACCAGAGCAGGAAGGATCCCCCAACACAGAATATGAAGTAAAGAATGCAGCGAAATGGAAGGAAGAACTCAAAGAGAACTCAAATAGAAGGGAAAACTATTAACATCTACACAAGGCTTGGCTACATACAGGTATGTGAGGGAGTGTCACACGGAGGTGCGTCGAGACCTGTTCTCCCCTGCAGAGGAAGGCAGGAAGCACTCCAACGGAGCGAAGCTCAGGGAACCAAGTTTCAATTTAGAAGCCAGGAAGCACTTCCTGACAGTTAGGACCCCGAGGGTATGGAATGGGCTTCCACAGGAGGTGGTTGAGACCCCGTCAGTGAGGGTGTTCAAGGATAGGCTAGACATGCACATGGTAGGCATCTCATGAGCAGAACCAGCTGGAGCCGGAGGTCAGACTAGATGGCCCGGAAGACCCCTTCTGACTTGCTCTGTTTCTATGTTTCTAAGGATTTGCAGTATGTTGTCATCAATATGCAGATGACATATAGCTCTGTTCCTCCAAGGAAGTTGCTTATTCCCTGAACTTGTTTTGGAGATAGGAATGGGCTGAGAGAGGGCTTAATCTAGAAAAGTTCAAGAGATAAATCAAGTCTGTAACAAGGATACAGTCTGTCTTAGCATGACTCTCTCTTTGATAAATCCTGTTCATGTACTCCTGCATCTGTCATTGCCTCGCCTAGGATGATGTGTCAGCTGCACCCATTTCTGAGATCAAATCAGGCCATGGGAACACATGGTTAAAGTATGGTACTGCTTTCTACATGGAGCTAACACTGAAAAGTCTTCAAAAAATTCAACTTGACCAGAATGTGTCAGGAAAGATTTTGATGTGTGGTTACCTCTTTTGAAAGAATTGCACAGTTTACAAGTTGTTAGCAGGCACAATGGATTTACACCAAGACAGCTGAGAAACAACCCAAGCACATGACAACCCAAGCAGTGCGGGGAAAATGGGCTTACTGAAAGGCTAAAAGATATGGGTGGAGGGTACTAAAAGAGCTAAAACACCAAGACAAGGGATATGCAAAAAAGGGGTGGGGGTGAGAAGAGGATTTGGAGAACAGCAACAATACACTTCACAGCCAACCAAACCCTCCAAGACCCAGGCCTTGTTGGCCGCCTTGGACAAAAAATAACAAAACTCAGCCTAGCCTAGCTATCCGCACAGATACTATACCAGTCATAGACACCAATGGCACAGGGTAGCACAGCGTTCTTTGGCAGAGACTGGCAGCATAATTTGAACCTCTCGTCCAAGAGGTACCCTGAACAACATGGGTCTCCCCAAGGTGAAAAAGGCACAGGGAATGCCTGTCTGTAGGTGGTAGTTTGCTGTTGCAGTCCATGTAGTTGTGGTATGAGGCTTTTAGTGCGATTTTCTCAAACAGGCTAGGGCCAGGACACCAACTGAGAGGCAGGAAAAACTAGGCAGAATATAGCAGAATATATTCGCATGGGGGGGGGGGCGGGGCAGGCAGCGGCGGGCATGCATGGCGCGTTGAAAACCTCTGAGGTGGGCCAGATCCAGCCCTCGGGCTGTAGTTTGAGCACCCATGTTCTATATCTATATCTATATCTGTATCATCTATTGTAGGATAGAAGGAAAAAACACAAAGAAAGAGGAGGAAAAACCTGGAGACAAAGGAGATCAAAGAGGTTCAACGAGAGGAAGAACTTCCCAATGTGCTCATGATGGCAGAACTGAGGTCTCGGGAGTCATGTCCAGCAGGTGGGCCCCTGCTTAATAATAATAATAATTAAGCAGCTTATTTTGGAATCTTCCCAAATGAGCTCAGAGGACAGACATTCCGGAGGCCCAGCTACAACACACCTGGTGCCCTCTGATGCCTCCACATCCGTAAATTTGTGGAGGTCGGGTGGCATCAGTTTGCCTAGCTCTGCCCTGCTCTTTGGACATTCATTACAAGATGAAAGCTGGCAACATAGGTTCTGTCAGGCATGATGACTGTGCCAAGATTCAAATGTGCAAGCACAAGCTCCGTGAGCGTACAGCCCATGCTCACGTATTGCTGAATGTATGAAGGTCAGGGGCTGGTCCAACAGATGTGTGGGTATTATCCCTTACATATGGAAGGGAGAATGAGAACAGGGCCAAGCATGTAAAGTCTCCTAACAGTTTGAGACTATAGTGGGCCAACAGCGAAGTGGTAACAAGCAAAATGTACTGTGCAGAAGGAAGAATCTATAGGACAAAAGAAGCAGCAGCAGCTTACCACAAAAGCAAAGATCTGGTTTATTTGGCTGAGATAATTCTTTAACAGTATTTTCACACTAAGGTTGACTAAAAATAATTTAAACTCAGTCAAACCATAACCTGACATAAAAGAACTTTCTGTTTCACATTTAAATAGCTATCTGGGGAAATCAGAGCCCTCCCTATTGCAGAGTCCTCTCTCATGGCACCCTCTATTTCACAGCAGACATCCCGTTTTCAGAAATTTTCCCCCTGTGAAGTGAGAAGCAAGTTTACCAAAGGAAAAAGCTGTCTGAAACCTTTCCTTCCCTTTTATCATTTCCTAAGACTAGCCCTGGAATTTGCTATGCTGGTGTTTTGTTTAAAGAAATTTATGTGGTACCAGTGATCCACCACCTTACAAGGCAGTTACCATGATAACCAGCTATTTACCCAATGTAACACATGAGAAAGACAACAATGCATCTCTAGACAACCCAAGTAAGTAAATTTAAGGCTCCAAAGTCGTACTAATATTTAATGGAATGAGACATTTTAGCATTCACCAGCCTTTAAAAATAACAAAAGAAAACCCCAGCAAGGGGGTCTAGCTGACTCAGCTATGACACATTTACTCATTCAAAAACCACTTTTAACCTGTCATGCAGAACCAGCTGTGCTTTATGAGGAACTGTTACTGGCTATATTTCAAAGATTAAGGGAAGAGAAATACAAAAGATGAAGCAGAGAGTAGCTCTCTTCCCTAACTTAATGTGGCATCTGTGGGGAAACTTTAAGGACCAAATTCATCCTAGCAGGACCCTCACTGAATTGAGCAAATAATCTGAGAGATTTATTTTATATTACATGCAATAACCATATTCTTATGTTAGGTACCTACTGAGCATGGTTAGGCTTGGAATGTTTGTCTACCCAGTCAGCTCTGTGGTCAAAAACTAGGAAGCCAAAGAAAGATGGTGATTACCTGGGAAATCCAGTTATGGAGCAGGCTAAGGCTGTGTTTACAGGTTAGACATCCTTTACAAAATAGGGCTGAAATTTCTCAAAAATAATTTTCTAACAGTTCTCTGAAACTTCCTTTATTGAGCTGCTCCTGAACTGCTGGAGAATTTCAAGCCTCTCCTAGAGAGTATTTGGGAAAGTTTGTTTCCCCAATTTTACTGTCTCTGAATAATTTGGGGTGCAGTGGCACTATGGAACCAGCATTAATGTTATTTAATATTAATTTGTCCTTTAGAGGAACTAACGGAGGTGGCTCCTGTGACTACTTTTCATCTACCACTATGATGGTTTTGTTCAGCATTAACTGGGTTGAACTTTCTTAGAAGATAATTTTCTTTCCTCCCTTCAAACTGCTGGAGGATTCTAACCTGGTTCCAAATACTATTTGTTAAAATGTTCCCCACCAGTGTAGCCATCTACAGTCACCATGAAGAATTTTGGGAGACCATTACTGCTCACTCCTAATGCAGGCAGTAGAAAAGAAAAAATGTATACATTCCACCCTCCTTAAATGTAAACTGGCTACATATGATGCAGGCAATCCCTGTGCATATTCATAGGAGCATGTACATGGCTGACCCAACCCTTTCATGCTGTCTGAGCTTCTACACATGAAACTGAATACATGTAATGTCCACACATCACCAATCTGCTTCTGCCTGTGGTAAGAAGATGCACATCCTGCCATGCATATGT